TTTCGGCTGGACCTGAGCCCAGAAAACGCTAGGCTGCATTGTGGCCGATTGTGCCCACGGAAAGGTCCGAAAACTCACTAAAGGGGCAAGTGGCCGGATTCAAGCAAATGACAGTTCGGGTGTCACTTCGATGACAAGCAACTCGGATCGTAAGTGACAGTTGATTGTCCGCCATGGATCATTGGATGGATTGGATTGAATTGAAGATGTGATGTAACAAGGATTTTTCTCACTATACCATGCAAAGTGTGGGAGAAGCAGCAAAATAGACCTGTACTCATGAGAGGCAACTGCCAGAGAACCTGATGAAATGAGATGCATCATGAGGAAGGTACATATATAAGACGCTGCATCTTAACTTCTCCCCCTGTCCCATCTGAAGATGCTTCCCAAAACCATGGTCACCAAAACAAGCTTGGACAGCATTGTTGCCGGCTTGGCTCCTATCCTATCACTCTTGGACGAGTTCAATGATACATTTGGCACACCTTTTATTCCTGCAATTTCAAAGACAACTCTGTCTCTGATCACCCTTGTGCAGGCATGTGGTATCTCATAAACCATGGTGCCAGCCTCACCCATTATTGCAGAATGTGAAGAAAAATAAAGAAGAATGTATCAAGCTCATGGAAAATGTGCATGAATTGCTCTATGCTGTCGTCAATCTGCATGTAAAATCTGGAACTCCATCAAGTCTTCCTCCTGCAATATTGTCTGCTTTTGGAGAGCTCACAGAGTGTGTTCCTAGCTAAGCACTTGCAATTAGAATAACATCTGAGGAATTGGTTAGCACACTTCACAAGGTCTACACATTCATGGTGGCCCAACAAGATGGGAACAAAATCAAGCAGCTCTTTCGGCAGAGTGAGATGAAGACACTGCTCAGTGACTGTCATATAGGATTACAGAAGGTTTTTGACAAGTTCAAGGTGTGTTTGAAATGTGCTCTCAGGTGGCTAATTATACAAATCCCCGGCAGATGGAAGGTGTCATCAACATCCATGGAAACATTGTTGAGATGCAGAAGGAAACAGAAAGGATCCACAAGGAACTGCTTGAAGTAATTTCAACCTCCACCGATGCAACAATGTCAGACAGATCATCCTCGGTACATATATTATTCTCAGTGCATGGTGGAGCAACAACTAATTTTGTGATAAGATTCACCACTGGGCCAGTAGCTTGCATAATAGGTAACCTGCAATCTGTGCTTGTTCAACTCAACAACACTCATGTTTGATTTTCTCTCAAGCTCAAATTCAATTTCCATGTTGCCTGCACAGCCCAAGATATTGCATGGTCGGGAATCAGAGCTTGAACATGTGGTGGAAATTCTCCACCAGGACTCTGCAAGAATAGCAATTCTGGGTGCAGGTGGAATGGGGAAAACAAGCCTCGCTAAAGCTGCCCTCCATCACCCAGACATCATTTGCAAATACCAAAATCAATTCTTTGTGGCTGCTGATTCTGCTACCACTAGCATCGAACTTGCAGCTTTGATTGGGTTGCATCTAGGATTGAAGCCTGGGAAGGACCTCACCAAGCCAATTGTGCACTACTTCTCCAACAAGGGTCCTTCCCTGTTGGTCCTCGATAATCTGGAAACTCTTTGGGAGCCAGTGGAGTCTCAGGGTGGTGTTGAAGAGTTTTTATCGAGGCTTACAGATGTTTCGCATCTAGCACTTATGGCAAGTACATATCAATATCTTTAAGGTCATTTCCACTCACATCTGGCTAGATAACTATGCGAGGTGCAGAAAGGCCAGGAAAAGTTCAGTGGACCCACCCATTTCTGCAGCCTTTGGATCCCCTATCGGATGAGGCAGCACTTCAAACATTCATAGCTATTGCCGAGGACTTCCACAATAATGAGGACATCACCAAACTGCTGTCATTGACAGATAACATGCCCTTGGCCGTGGATCTAATAGCTCATCTCGTGGACCATGAAGGGTGTGAGGATGTCTTGGCCCGTTGGGAGACAGAAAAGACCTCTCTTCTTTCCCATGGTCATGATAGGAAGTCAAACTTGGATATCTCAATCACCATCTCTCTTTTGAGTCCTCGGCTCAGTTCGGGTGCCAAGGATTTGTTGAGCCTGCTTTCCATTCTGCCGGATGGCCTCTCAGAAGCTGAGCTGCACCAAACCGAGCTTCCCATAAAAAACATCCTGGAATGCAGATCTATACTGCTTAGGACATCTCTCGCATATGAGGATGACAGAAAAAGGCTAAAGTCACTGGTGCCTATTCGTGAGCATATGCAGCAGTTCTATCCAGCTCCACCACACTTCATACACCAAGTTGAAAAGCAATTCCATCTGCTTCTGGATATGTATAAGATTCATTTTGGATCACAGCAGGCAGCAGGACACCTCAATCAGATAACTTTAAATCTGGGCAACTTACATCAAGTACTACTGCAAGGATTACAAGAAGAAAGCCCAACCCTTGCAGATACAATAAATTGTGTCATTTCACTGAATCGTTTCAGTCGAGCAGCAGGATATGGCCGTTGTGCATTGATGAATCATATTCCAGCTGCTCTGTCTTCAATTCATGATGACAGGCTTGAAGCATTGTTCATCGTAGAGGTGTTCCTTTCTCGGCAGTACCATCCCATTGTGACTCCTGAACCTTTGATTGCTCAAGCCATACATCACTTCGGCAAGTTGAATGATCCACTCCTTGAGGGTGAGTTCCACATGCTTTCAATGAGAGCTTACTCTAATGAAAATAATTACAGCAAAGTTCTATCTCACAGTTGGAAACTACACCTTTTTCTATAAACAGAACCTATCCAGAGCCACCCAATTCCTTGACAAGGCACTTGCACTAGCAAAATCCTGTGGAAACAAAATGCAGCAGGCCAGAGTATTGAATGAGTTCGCCTTGATATCCTGCATTATTGGGGAGTATGTTGCAGCCCAAACACATGCTCATCAGGCACAAAGACTTGCCCATGTATCTGCAGATTTACACAGTGAAGCTGAAGCACTGAGGATTGAAGCCTTGTGTGCTCAGGCCCTTGGTGACTACAAAAGTAGTCTGTTTTTGTGTCACAGAGCAAGAAACCTCCTGGACCTTTGTGGACTGTCTCAAGGTTTTCTAAGTTATAATATCATGCACACTGAAGCAGAGCTGCATTTTCGGAAATCAGAATATGCCGAGGCACGCAGCATTCACACTGAATTTCTTCGTAATACTCAAGATACAAATCACTATGCTTTTGGCCTGGTCAATCTGGTACAGATTGATATTATGATTGATGCAAGTGCTCAGGATGTGCACCAGAACCTGGACAAAGCAAGAGGAATCTTTGATGTTGCTGGACATCTATATGGATTGAATTATTGTGAAATCTGTTCAGGAGAGCTCTATCTCAGAGAAGGAGAGACTCACACTGCCATGTCAATACTCCAGCAGACCTTCACTTCCATGGCACACCAAGATAGTCAGGCTGCACTTGAATGCCTGGAGAGCCTTGCAGATACAAACCGATGGCCTGCATCCAGCTTTGAGTGGGCATCAAGATGGACAGTGGTATATTTCATATATGCACAAGGAAAAAAGAACAAGTGGGCACTCTACAAGGCATTTCAATACCTGGGAGATGTCTTTCTCAAACAAGGTGATCTCACTACGGCAGGCAATCTTTTCAGTGTTGCTTTGGAGACATTCACATATATGGACGTCCACTGCAGTCGAGGCGAGTGCATGCTTCGCCTTGGCGATATCTCAGAGCAAAGAGGACATTTGGTGGAGGCAGTCAAATTTTGGAAGGAGGCTCGCCCATTGTTTGAGCGTTCATTGCAAACAAAGGCAATCATTCAAATTGACACCAGACTAGCTGCTGTTGATCAGGAGATATTGGATGGGAATGGTAGAACAACAGCCCAACCTATTCCACTGGTTGGGCATTCATCGCAAACAAAGGAGATCACTCAAATTGACACCAAACTTGCTGTTGTTGATCAGGAGATATAGATGGGAATGGTAAAACACCAGCTCAGCCTATTCCATCTGGAATCTTCTGTGTCTCTGTTGAAGACTGAGGAACACTGTAGAAATAATTGATGGGGACATGTTGCCTGATTCATATACCCTTGGATTAATTTTGATTTCTGTACTGATAGTTACAGTACCTCATGCTCTGTATGTCCCTTGAATCATGTCTTCCATAGAGACAAGAATTAGCTTAAAGTTAGCCTGTTTGGTGTCACAATGATCTGGATTCTGTTCTTGGCCTCAGTGCCCTGACTGCAACTCAACTCATTGTTCATATAATATCTGACTCCAACACTGCACTTGCTTACCACAATTATTTACAGTGGCAATGGAATGGTCTGCACACAGCTGTTTGGACCTGTTTCCAGGCCGAATCACTTCAAATGAAATTCTGGCATGAAGTTTGAGTGATTTAAAGAGTTCTTGCAAGAATTAAATAAAGGGGTTTTCTGAAAAATCAAGTCTCTGTGCAGTGTCCCCCGTAGCAATGGTTAATGTAGATTCCGGGCACGGCACCTGTGCTACGGTGCCATTGAACCGTTAGAACAGCACCGAGCGGCAGCCCTACTGTACTGTACTATTTCGACCAAAGGTTCAGGTGATGGGTGATGGAGGCTCCTGAACTGAACAATTTTCACCTAGGTGACAGTGACAGATGATTTTTGGGGCCCAACTAGGTCCAAAAACATGAAAGTTTTCGCTTCGGCATTTGCCGGCTTACCATTTATGGTAATTTCCCCACGATTGCCGAGGAATGAACCTTGAATTCAGTGAACAATTGAGGGGACAGGTGGCATACCGTATCATTGATCGAAATAGTACAGTAATAATTCAAGTCGATTCAAGTTTACCTTCAAACCCTTTCACACTTCCATGACGAGTGTGAGACAAGACAGCAAGACACACTGAAATAGTGCGGAATTGATGCGCCGGCGGTTGTCACGTCAATTTTCAACCGCCCCTCCTGATCTGCTTTCCCTCCCAACCCTCATTGCATCAGTGGGGTAGTGGTAACCTGGGTCGTTGCCACATCGGATTACGTAAAAGTATTCGACCCGCCGGGGGTTCGATTCCCTCCTGATGCATTCGTACAAATCTGTATTTCTTTTTTCGAAGGTGGGGTTTTTTTCTTTTTTTCTGGTTTTGGGAGAGGATTGAACCAAGCGAAAGAGGCCTCGGTGTGCAGGGTAAGATGTACAGTAGCCGGGGGTTCGATTCGCTTCTGGTGGATTTCGACTTTGGGGTGCATTTTTTGGGTCGTTGATTTTGTTTTGTTATAACCATTTTTTTAGATGTGTGTAGGGGACTTTGCTTTTTATGAGCGGTAATATTAATATATGCCTGCATATGTACATACAGTACTCCAGGCTCGATGGATAGCGAGTGTGGGTGTTGATTCTGATTATAATAATTACAATTCCGATGCTACTTTTCGCTGCGGATGAGCCCATTGTGATACATAAGGGTAGGTAGGTGAGTAAGCGTGGTTCAATTGTGTCGGTTAAAGCAAGGCGTCGCCACACCTGCAAGCATGGTGAATCGAACATATGTGACACTTTGACAAGGCCTAAGTTGGACCGTGACAACGCCAAAAAATTTGGCACTATCCTAAAATGATGGAGGAAGATTATAGAGTCATTTAGGATTTTCTGCAGAAGCAGGGAAGCCAGCCAGATGCTGATTTAAATTAATTGCCTCGCAAATGGTTCTCCCAGTGATTTTTTGAAACTCTATTGAGTTTAGGCTTAGATGAAGCTAAAATTTGAGAATACACAATATATGTGAGCAGTTTCGATACAGGGATGCAACAGAGATTTACTGGGGATTCTTGGGACATTTTGGACAATTTTGTGAACCGCCGGACCAATTTGACAACTACCCCTGTGCCGCGTGACAAACAACCAAAGTTCATATTTGGCAACCCCCCCTGTGATGCATGACTGTCAAATTGAATAAAAAAAATACAGTATAATGTTCATACAGTGGGGCTAAATGAGTGGGATTTATTTCAGAGCCTGAGACACGTTATAGGGATTCCGATCCTAGTACCAGGAATCCATACCGGAAAGGAACACGGTCCAAAAATTCCCTGCTGCGTTGAAATCCGAATTCCATGCAGCTCGACCACTGCAAATATTTGAACCTCTTCCTGCCACAAAATATGCTTATCTGAGTGGATTTGTGCATGTACCCTGGCGGACACGGAAAAATAGTTTACATCACAAGTATGGCAGAGAAAAATGCAAATAAAGCACAGACTTGCCTCCATACCCAGCAGGTATGTTTGTGGAACATTTCATATCCCTGTGTGCAAGTTTGGAGAAAGAATTTATTATTTTAGGAGAGGCCATTGCGTGACTCAATCACATGTTTTATAGGTAAACTGCACCACACGTAGGCTCGAAACCAGCCTGTCTATGAAAGCAAGCTTGTCGATAGACAGGCTGGTCGATCTGAGTTTAAATTCACATGTTAAGCAGGTTACTATATAAGGCTATTCACATTTCTCTTTATCTCTCGCCAAATTCACTCTTCTCAGAGCAAGGAATGTGTGCCTCGTCAGTGTATATAAGAGGGCCTTTAGCCTAGACAAAAATATGGAGAATTGAGCCTCATACAATATATTCTATCTCAATTGTCAATGTTTGGATCTAAAGTTACCCGCACGGAACATGCGGTCCGGAATAACCTTATATGGTAACCCGCTCAACACACAAATTTAAACTCAGATCGACCGGTCTGTCTATCGACAGTTTCATAGACAGACGGTCACCGGTCTACACCACACGTTATAGGGCAACGATCCGCCATAAATTTTCATCAAATACTAGCTCGATATCATTTCAAGACTGCGACATTATAAATAGAACAGTGAATATTGCCCCGCGAGCGCAGCGAGCAAGTTGCCCTATCACGCCTGGTAACGAAACTAGCATGTGTCATGTCTCTCATGCGGAGTGGTACAATAGAGTGTATTAGTTAACACTTTTGACGGTTTTTTGTCAGTAAGTGGAGCACCAAATTAAGCGAGTTTGAGTGAGCTCACCGCTGTCCAGCACTGTGTTTTAAGCGAAACAAGTCACAATTATTTCGTGGAACCTTCAAAAAAAGTGCTAACTAATACACTCTAATGGCATTTTTTTTTCGGGGCCCACGATTGTACCCATATCGGAATGCCGATCATGGACCTACCAACAACCGTGGCAACGGATTACAGCTGTTTCCGAAAAGCTTGACACTCACAATTTTTTTCGCTCACAACCAACTTTTGATCGAGTGCTAAGGATTACCTAGTTTGGGATTCCGATCAGTCATGTGCTGTGCTTGCCGTCGGCAATGCTCTCGCTGCCGTTCACAGCTTACCTCAAAACTTGCCCTCAAAATATTCTGCTTGCTTGAAAAGCGGTCAGAACACTTGCAGAAGATGTTTGGTGTATGAAGCCTGGGCACAAAAACGTTTGGATTGTATAGTTGACTGCAAGTTCGCATTTGGTGGCCTCGGCTTGGCGCAGCTCGGCTACGCTCAGCTAACCCAAAACAGTAATCCTTAACCCTCCATCAAATGTTGGTTGAGAGCAAAAAAAAAATTGATGAGTGTCAAGCTTTTCAGAAACAGCTGTAACGGTCCAGTCTTCTGTCCCGAGTCGAGGTGCAGTTGGAGCTGGCTGCTGGAAGGCTCCAGAGCAAGGACTGGTATTGGTATGCGGTGCCAGAATTGCTGCACGCCGTCGCGGGAGGGGAGTTCACTTGTACAAATGTTTTCGGTCAGACAATCAGCAGTGTCCAAAATCGTGGGGTAAAACCATTGCCAAGAACGAGCCTAAAAAGAAATTTTTAGGACTCGTAACATGGCAACTGTTGTCTCCTGATGTATGATACATATCTACCATACAGGATAGCAGATGATCTTGTTCTGGGAAACGTATATAGAGTGAAGACCATGGTTGCCTCAGACCCCATCTCCCTCCACATGGCTATAATTGGTAGGAGGGCCTTCACAATTTCTTACACATGACTGACTGAGCTCATGACCCCAGTTGCCCCATTTCTCTCAAAGTTGATACTATTGCCTGGGCTCATAGTCACAACAGCAGTTGCTATCATTCTTTTGGTTGAGTCTGGACATAAGAGTCAAGGCTTGTATAAATTTGTTTCCCAACAGCCTACCCAAGTTCAGGTCCTCATTCAAGTGGCTTCCCACCTTCTGGGATTCATCCATGTTTTTACCCTATCCACCATCACCAACTTCTCCACTCGACTTCGGCTTCAACGGGGGTCAGTGTCCCTGACAGAACTGCGGTTATGGCAGTCCATCTCATCAATTAAGTTTGTGTGGAACCTTCCATTTATGCACACTGGGATTCTGCTCTCGTATATCTTCCTACACCTACTCCCAGCATCACTTTGGGCAGCTGCTCTCACTCCAATCCTCTCACAGAGCACAACAACTGGAACAATCCATGTTCCTGCCTACCCACCTGACCCTGCCAACAAATTCTGGAATCAAACTCAAAACATTGCACCAGTGACCCGGAATAAGAAGGGGGTGTTCTCATTCACCCCAGCAGGTATAATACAGGGTGCAATTTTGAATTCTGCAGCAAGTACCACAAGCATCACAGGAGTCCGTACCCATGCAAAGAATGACAATAGCCTTCTGTCATATTCTGGACGATCATATGGAGTTGGAGCTAGTGCTGGCCTTGAAAATTTTGTTCTTGACAGTGGAGTTGCAGAAAATGCCCTTCTATACACCTATCAAGAACTGGGCTATATGACAGATGTCCAATGCTGGAGAAATGAAAGCTCTGCCTGGGGGATCACCTTAATTTTCAATAGAACATTACCTACCTTTCCAGATGAATACCTTGCATGTGGAGTATTACCCAACATTCTATATGTGCCAGAGTTCATCTCAACCTCAGGATGCCCAGGAGTTCTTCCTGACTATTTCCCAGAATGGTTTGGAGTTCTTGGACCTACAGATGCAACTGTTTTTGCTCTACAGGCTAGATCTCAGAGTGCAAGAAATATGTTTGCGATGGCTGCTGCTGGCCCTGGAATATACAGTACCCTTGACAAGGTCCAGTGTGAAGCATATTTCATACCACAGATGTTCCAGGTCTTGGTTAATGTGACAACCTCTCTTATCACAGTCAATCCAGTAGCCAACTCTACACTTGACATGGATCCTAGTTCTGCTACTTATGGTGCTGGATTAGGGTGGTTGGTCCAATTCATATTGCAACAAGTCACACAGTTCTCTACAGGAGGTACTGGAATTGATTCCTCTCCCCTTGGAGATAGCTTTTTATCCAATATCCAAAATGTGGCATTGGCAAACAATGCCTCCATCAACGACACATCTGTAATCATGGATGGCATTTCAAGCTCCCTGGAGTCAATCATAGATGACCTTCTTCTTGGAATGGCAAGTGCCCAGATAGAAATTGCATGGAACAATAGTGGTGTTGTAGAAGCCACTACCACAGCTGCTACTACTGTCACAGTCCCAGCAATGGGACTAGGGAACCTTCAGTATGTTGTGATAATTGCAACATTGAATTTCCTTGTTGTGGTGGTATACTTCTTGGAATTTGTGCGCACAAGAGCATGGCAAGGGCTACCCTTGTTTGATTACAATGACATTGCAAGTCTGGTCGTTGCAGTGTCAAGGGATGGACAACAGATAAGTGCTGCTGTTGCCATCGCACACAAGGACAAAGGGACCATCTGGACAGGAGATCCAGGGAACATGGAAGGTTCTGCCACTAGAATTTCATTGCGGTTTCAGGATGATATGCCGACAATTGAGGCTGTTGGAATGCAGAAGGACACTGAGCAGTTTCTGAGTGCTGATGACACACAGTGGCCTCTGTTGGAGGATGCATAGATTGTAAGGAAACCTTTTCATCTACCTTATGCTACCCTTTTTTTCTTATGTTTTATTCTCCATACACGTCGAGATTTTACCAATTAGGTTGTACTTATTTATTATAAAGTTCCTCATGTCATGTAGACACAATAGCACGATAGGAATCTACACTTTCACCCAAACAATAAATTTGCTCTAACCCTCCTCAGA